ACGTGTCTCACAAAGTGTTCTAGCAGTTGCACTCGTCAAGTCTGACTGAAACCTACGTGTCTCACAAAGTGTTCTAGCAGTTGCATTCGTCAAGTCTGCCTGAAATCTACGTGTCTCACAAAGTGTTCTAGCAGTTGCACTCGTCAAGTCTGACTGAAACCTACGTGTCTCACAAAGTGTTCTAGCAGTTGCATTCGTCAAGTCTGCCTGAAATCTACGTGTCTCACAAAGTGTTCTAGCAGTTGCACTCGTCAAGTTTGCCTGAAATCTACGTACCTGACAAAGTGTTCTAGTCATCGCATTTATCAAGTTCATATTAAACCTGTGTGTGTCTAAGGAAGTAGACCGCCAATTCCATCAAAAAACTTATGTGACAAAATAATTTAGATCGACACGCATTCGCCACGTCCTCTGCCTCAAACCTATGTGCCTACGTGTCTGACGAAGTAGTCTAGTTCAAGTACGCGCAAAGTCCATCTAAAACCTGTGTCTGACGAAGTAGTCTAGCTAGCCCATTCACCCCAGTTCCAAGATGTCTCCCTACTCCAGGAAGTTGGTGAGCTCCTTCCGGCTACATGTAGTCCACTTGAATGTTCCGTCCAGTCCGGCCAAAACAGGTGACATAATGCTTCCTCTTGCGTCAGTACACTTTGATCCTCTTCCATCGTGCACCATACCAAAACTATAAAAGAATGAAAACAGTAGAATATTTAAAAAACTGGTAATTGTTTTAATGGTTTCTAGTTCCGAAAAAAAATCTTTAGTTTTGTGTTCTTTTTTTTTTTAATGAGATAAAATTGATTCTTTTCATGACTTAACAAATTTATTTGGGAAGAAAAAGTTGACAATTTTGATTTACTGAAATTTTTGTTCGGTTCTAAAGCAACACGAAAATCAAATTCCTCATTTTTCTGTCAACTTACTTATGTCCCACCTCGTGCGCAACCGTAAAAGCCAATGCTAAGCCGGTATCCTCGTTGACAGTACAACTTCTGTACTTGCTGCACATGCCACTCACAGGAGCGTAACCTAGAACAGAGAATAAAAACACTTGTAATAAAAAATAAAATATTCCAAACATATCCTATATTTTTCTAGTTTTAGATATCTGATGATATTAATCTTTACATTTATTGAGTTTTTATGTTCTAAAACTGTGATCACTATACATTTAAAACGCTGATTTAGATATAACCTTGATATTTTGGTTAGTGTAAAATCTACAACTTCGAACCTGTGAAAGAAAATAAGAACTGAAAACAAATCTCTCTATCTAGAAATAGTTATTGGAGCTTTAGTACACTTTCCCCATCTAGTGAACGTAAAAATCAATTCAATAATATGAATTTTTACCATCCGATTATTACTTTGGTGTTTTCTAAATCTTTGTGCTGAGGGCTTTAGTTTAATTTTAGGAAAATATTGATTTTGTACGATTGCACCTAAGAGCTTTATTTTACAATATCGTCAGTGGAATACGTTAATTGTAAATTCTGTATTAAAGTGAAACTGATAAAAATTGGTAACAGACGGCAATCGGATCAATGTTTCTAAATACACTTCGACGTAAAGGCCAAACACTTGCAGAACGAGGTCGAAACGGACAACTAATGTCCGAGATTTACTGTTTATCCTTGATTTTATAACAGTATATTTGATAAAAGCATTTGACTTATACTTTAGTAAGGGCATACAAACAGTAGTAAATTGTTTAGAGCTTTCACTGTCATTTAGGAATTTACTGCTGTTTGTATGCCCTTACTAAAGGTATAAGTGAGATATAATATTTTAGATGAACTATGAACTCATAAATGACAGTGAAAGCTCTAAACAATTTACTGTTGTTTGTATGCCCTTACTAAAGGTATAAGTGAGATATAATATTTTAGAATTTAGAGCTTTCACTGTCATTTATGAGTTCATCTAAAATATTATATCTCACTTATACCTTTAGTAAGGGCATACAAACAACAGTAAATTATTTAGAGCTTTCACTGTCATTTGTGAGTTCATTTAAAATATTATATCTCACTTATACCTTTAGTAAGGGCACACAAACAACAGTAAATTATTTAGAGCTTTCACTGTCATTTGTGAGTTCATTTAAAATATTATATCTCACTTATACCTTTAGTAAGGGCATACAAACAACAGTAAATTGTTTAGAGCTTTCACTGTCATTTGTGAGTTCATTTAAAATATTATATCTCAACTAAAACAAATTTGATAAGTAAAGTGAGTGTTAACGCATTCTGACTAACATCGAATATCACTATGTTACGTACCCTGTATCATAAGGTTAACAAACCACCAGTTTACTAACGTAGAATATCACTATGTTACGTACCCTGTATCATAAGGTTAACAAACCACCAGTTTACTAACGTAGAATATCACTATGTTACGTACCCTGTATCATAAGGTTAACAAACCACCAGTTTACTAACGTAGA